TATGATGCATGATTTTTGCTATATACTTTTTTGTTTTTTTTTGAAACAAACTATCCTATATGATTCTTTAGAGCTAGGGTATACAGAAGAGTGTTAGTTTTTTTTATTGATATCTATTTGTTTGTCTATAATTACTTTCTATTTGAAATGAAAAAAAAAAAAAAGTTAACACAACAAATGCAACACGCATATGCTCAAACAAATGTACACCCGCGGACAGTCACGTTCAAATCCTTGTTCTGTGGTCCCTGTAAGAAAAGTGTGTTGTATAGGACAGTTCTAATCTCACTGGTCTTTAAGGCTCCCAAGGTGCCCCCATTATAGGGACCCAATACCTTTGTCGCCGTCACCTGGCAAACTCTAAGGTCTGTCGCAATATTTCGAGTTAGAGTAATTAACTAGTTATCACCTTGAGTGTGATTTTCGACAAGGCTCGCAAGCTCCAAGGCTAAACTTGGGCCGTTCGTACGTCAACCACTCCCTATGTTTAATACCCTCATGCCCCGGGTGTAGGGGGACTGTTGTGTGCTAAGGTTTTTGTATAGTAATTATTTCAAACAGATGCAAAATTTAAATAGACAAACAGATATCAAAGTCAAGCAAATAAAATAAACAAAGTAAAGGGGAAAAATATTTAAATTATTATTCTTATTTTACTAACTTCTCATCATTTATATGGGTTTGACCCTCTTTAAAACTTCCCAAGTGGAGTCGCCATCTGTCGCAACCTGAAAGCTTCTGATCTTGCGACCTATGATTTAGACATCCTTTTAAAAATCTAATCAATTAAGGAATGCCCGGAAACTAGACTAATCCCTAATTAATAGTTTTGAAAATAGGTTCATAGGAGTCTCCACCAATGTTTTACTCAAAACATTGGAAAAAGAAAGGTTTTTGAAAATCCCATAATGGCCTTGATAACCAAAATTGGGTTCAGGGGTCGGTTACGTATAGGGAAGGTATTAAGCACCCCTACAACGCCCTTTCGGTACCCTATGATGGAATTAGCATAACAATGAGTAATAATTTAGACATTTTTCCCCTTTATTAATGCATATTTACATATATACGGATTTAAATTACACAAATTTCCCTAGGATATCTACATGGTTATTCCTTTTATTCGGAACAAGAGTCAATTAATGTGTAGAAGCAAGGAGAGAGAAGTGTTAATTGAAATACTTCTTGATCGAGCTTTATTACAGTACTAGAAAAGTGTCATTTTCCTGCGAATTTTTCTGCAAAAAAATATTCGTAGAAATTTTTTACAATTTTCCTACAAAAAAAATATTCGCAGAAATTTTTTACGAAATTTCCTGCAAAAAAATATTCGTAGAAATTTTTTGCGAATTTATTTGCAAAAAATAATTTACAGATATTTCTTACAAATTTTGCTACAATTTTAATAATCATAAAAAAAATTCCATGGTAAAAATTTGCAGAAAATATTGTAAGAATTTTATTTTGTTTCTTGCAGATTTTCTTGCAAAAATAAATTCGCAAGTAATGTTTACTAAATGGTAAAAAAATTTTGCAAGTAACTTTTCTTGCGGATTTTCCTGCAAATTTTAATTTGCAAGAAAAATAAAAAAAAAATATTTAAATTTATAAGTTGAATATTTTAAAAAAAATCTTCAAGTCTCACATCGATTAAAAATAGAATAATTAAAGAGTATATAAGTTGGGGCAACACTTACCTTACAAGTTGATTTGTAAGGTTGAGTGTTAGGTTTATAATTTACAATCTTAGAATTTAAAATATTATGTATCACATGTTGGAGGCATGGAAACAAATGCTTTCGGATGAATTCATTGTGAGCATTTCAAAGTTGAAGAATTATTGATAGAATTTATAGTAATTTCTTTAATTTTTTTCACAAAAAATATTTCTGCAGAATTTCTTGCGAAAAAATTCGTAAGAAACTTTCCTGCGAAGTTTTTCCGCAAGAAGTTTCACAGGAAAATTTCCTACGAATTTTAAAATTCGTAAAAATATATTATCCACAAAGGTATTAACTACAGATAAAATTTCGCAGAAAAATTTAGGAACAACGTTTCCCGTGAATTTTTATAAAAAAATTCGCAGGAAAGTCGCATATAATAAGAGAAATTCTAGTACTGTTATATCTTCAAATATGGAGACTCTTTAGGTGCTTTTTGGCTACCTTTCACACTACAACTGCCTCACAAAATCTCAAGAAATATAATAAGAGGGAGAGAGAGAATTTTTAGGTGTTTTTTGGCTGCCTTTCACACTACAACTGCCTCACAAAATCTCAAAAAATACAATAAGAGGGAGAGAGAGATTTTTCGAGCTCTAAGGAGTCTTGGACGAAATTTTCTGGCCTCGAAAATAGTGCATGAGTATGTTATTTATAGATATCAGAAGTGGCCAGAACGGCCCGTTTCATATCTGAAATGGCCTATTCTAGACCCCCTTGTTCTGCGTTAATTTCATATCTGGAACGACCCGTTCTTAAACCAGAACGACCCGTTCTAGAGTTGAGTTTAACACATAACTGCCTGTGCTAGAACAATCGGTTCCAAACTCGGGTTATAGACATTTTTTAGTAGTCCGGAACGGCCCGTTCCAGTTTAAGAACGACCCATTCCAGTTTGGGAACAATCTGTTCCAGCTTGGGAACAACCCATTTCAGTTTGGGAACAAGTCGTTCTGGCTTGGGAACAACCCATTTTGGGCTACTTAATCAGCTTTTGTTGGGCTTTAGGCGGCCTCCTGATGTCATGTCCTATTTTTTCCATACTTGGGAGCTCCTTTTCTTTGATAAGGGAAGTCCATTTTCTTGTTTGTATGCCCCAGACAAAATTAGGTGTCTACACCTGTATGTATGAGTTATCACATTTTAATATTCCTTTTAGTTTACTAGTAACAGTGCAATTCCACTAAGTATAGGGACCATGGCAGGTCGTTACAAATGATACACAAAATATGTTATTAAATCTCATTCAAAATAAATATTAAAATTGTGTGTAGCTACATATCAAATAGATATATTCCAATATGTATGACACTTATAGTAATACTTTTTGTATGTGTAAACATTTCGTGTATTAGAATGAATTTATTCACCGAACGGTTTAAATCATTGTTTTATATATGTATATATAATGACAAGTTCAAACCTCATAGTAACCGTTGTATAAAAGAAAATATTATTATTTGTTAGGAAAAAATATCCAAACACTCCATAAATCTTATTTTATTTTAAAGCGACCAAAGTATTTTCAAATGAAACTAATAAAAAAATACTTAAAATTCTAGTCCTATGCATAAATTAAATATGATAATATATAAACCGTGTGACACAATGAAATAAACATACTGATGCTTTGCACTTCATTTAATCCATTAAAATTTTATCGCATAAATATTTATTTTCTATTTTTAGTATTTTGTTTACTTATAAATTTTGTTTATTTTTTATTATTATTTTAGATAAGTCAGCCCATATAAGTTATAACTTGCTGTATGTTAAGTCACGTTGACTATTTTTTGGTTCACCAAAAAGTAAACTATGTCTCACTTTTTACCGAACTATAATGATCTATTAAATAACTTCTAATCTTGTATTTATGTATGATCGTAGTTCTTTTTTTGGTTACATTATATATGATCGTATAACCTGCAGTGGTTTTTATATTCCAATTAACATAAAATAATAAGAAAAACACATGGAAGACGTACGCAGGCAAGCTCAACTTGTTCATGGAGTCATTGACTACTATTTTTTTCTAAGGTGATTTAACATATACTATATCTTAATTATTAGGGTGAGTTAATTAAGATTGAAGCAAAACCATAGATAAAGTCACCATTTATATTTTATACCTTAACTATTTGATCCTATCATCATTACGTGAAATATTTTCAAGAGGACAAACTCTAGGTAGGTTCGGTTGAACATATTGATTTGACTTTGTGCCTATGAGCTGAAGCAATTAGTAGCAGAAATTGGAAAAGTCATTCAAACCGTACATGGATGCCAATCACATTCACATGTCATGAAATACCTTTGAATAAGCATTAAGAAATATGATAAATCATGAGTTCCTTGTCAAAGATCAAAACCGTATAATTTTGGGGTCCAATGCAAGTTCAAATGTTTATTTGGAACAGAAGTATTTTTCTAAGAATTGAATTAGATTGCATTGAATATTATATAAAAAAATTACATGATTATTAATCATAAATTGTTACATATAAAAGTTATTTGTAAAATAATTTCTATAAAAATTAATCGTATAAATATCTTTTTCTATACATGACAATTAGAAATTGATGAGACTTTTCTTCTCATATGTAAATACAAAATAATTATAATATTTAGATACACAAACCTTTTTTTTATATTCATGGTATTGATATTAAATATTTACTTTCGAAGAAAGTATGATTCATGTTAGAGATTATAAATAAATAAATATATATATATATATATATATAATAATTTTTTCTCAACTAACATATTTAAGATTGGAATAGAAAGCATATACACATTTATTAAAAGATATATAAATCATTATTATTTGCGTTATTTTTCTATATCTCTCTTCTTATTATATATATATTATCATCAATCACTTTTATTTTTGAATGTCTAAAAAAAATTCCCAATAAAATAAAGCATTTACAATTTCATAACTAAAATGCTTTGAATATGATTAATAAATATCCTATTTGCCGACTTTATAGGTATTCTAATATTAATTTAATGGTATAACATTTCAGTGTAGACTTTTTTCATTCCTCTAACAGGACACAAGAATTTTCCCAGAAAAAGTAACCTAAAGAGACAAGGATATATATTTTAGATTATTAAAAAAAAACTTGAATCAATCAACCCTTGACAACTGTGTATATATATATATATATATATTAATAATTTGTTTCTTCTTCTATCCAGGAAAGTATATATATATATATATGGTTTACAAAAGGAATGACTCATTAATTATAAATAAGCATTTCAGAATTCAGAATTGTCCTTCACATTCCACCTAGTCTCAAAATTATTACAAACCCTCCAAATATCAATTAGAATCAGAAACATGCACCTTCCTTGGTTAGTCAAATATCAATTAGCATCAACCATCTTTATTGTCATTTCCCTCACCAATGTTACCTCCTTATATTTCAATTTCCCTACCTTCCAACAACAAGATGCTGATCGTTTATTGCTGAACCCGTATTCAAAAATATACTTAGATGCCATCCAAGTGACCCCTGATATTCGTGGTCCAATAAATGATTATTCAGGACGTGCTTTCTACCGCAAGCCATACAAACTTTGGAACAAGAAGAAGAACCAAAGTGCGTCCTTCAACACCACTTTTGTGCTCAACATCACTCCCGAAACTACCCCTGGTGGAGAAGGCTTGGCCTTCATCTTGACTTCAGACACCACTCTCCCACAAAACAGTTCAGGAGAATGGCTTGGAATTGTGAATGCCACTTCCAATGGAACCTCACAAGCTGCGATTCTAGCGGTGGAGTTCGACACAAGAAAAAGTTCCATACAAGATGGCCCTGACAACCATGTTGGCATCAACATAAACAGCATCAACTCCTTCCAACAGGTTCCTTTAACCAACACTGGGATCAATATTTCATCAGGTTTGGATGTAACAATCAGAATTCAATACTTGAATGACACAATATCAGTTTTTGGTTCCATGATTAATGGAACTTCTATGAAGACCCTTTTGGTATCTCCACCTCTTAATCTATCTTCCTATCTTCAAGAAGATGTTTACCTTGGTTTCTCAGCCTCAACAAGTAATTACACGGAGCTGAACTGTGTAAAATCATGGGAATTCAGTGGTGTTGATATTGGAGATCATGATAAAAGTATGGTGTGGGTTTATGTGACTGTTCCAACAGTGATTGTTGTTGTCATCATAGGTGGGTTGGTGATTTTTTTCATGCGTTTGCGAAGAAGTTATTTGGAGAGGCCAGAAGATGCATATCCAAGGATAGAGGATCAGATTCAATATTCCTCTATGGCTCCAAAGAAGTTTAGGTTAAGGGAAATAACAAAAGCAACAGGTGGATTCAGCCCTCAGAACAAGCTTGGAGAAGGTGGATTTGGAACCGTGTTTAGAGGCTTATTGGAAAACAAGGAGGTAGCTGTGAAGAGAGTTTCCAAAAACTCACGCCAAGGGAAGCAAGAGTTTGTGGCAGAAGTTACAACAATTGGAAGCCTTCACCACAGAAATTTGGTGAAACTCACTGGCTGGTGCTATGAGAAAAGAGAGCTTCTCCTTGTGTATGAGTTCATGCCTAATGGAAGTCTAGACAAGTACCTCTTTGGTGACAAAAATTATGGCCTTGAAGGGTGTTCTTCAACACTGGATTGGGAAACTAGGCACAGTGTGATTCATGGGGTGGCACAAGCACTTGACTATCTCCACAATGGGTGTGAGAAGAGGGTGCTTCATAGAGACATCAAAGCCAGCAACATAATGTTGGACTCAGACTACAATGCAAAGTTGGGGGACTTTGGATTGGCAAGAACCATTCAGAAGAGAAACGAGACACACCACTCCACAAAGGAGATTGCAGGCACACCAGGGTACATGGCACCAGAGACCTTCCTCACAGGTAGGGCAACAGTGGAGACAGATGTGTATGCATTTGGGGTGCTTGTGTTGGAGGTGGTGTGTGGAAAGAGGCCAGGGAATGTGCATGCACAAGATGACTACAAAAACAGCATTGTGTATTGGGTGTGGGAGATGCATGGGAAGGGGAAGATTGTTGGTGCTGTGGATGGAAGGTTGAAAAAGGAGGAGATTAAGGAGGAGGAAGTGGAGTGTGTTCTTGTTCTTGGCTTGGCTTGTTGCCATCCAAACCCACACCTTAGGCCTTCCATGAGAACTGTTCTTCAGGTTCTCAATGGGGAAGCACCCCCACCTGAGGTGCCTAAGGAAAGACCAGCTTTCATGTGGCCTGCTATGCCTCCTTCCTTCAAAGAAGCTGAAGATAGTTCCCTCATCCAGGGTACACTCACTCCATTCACTGAAATCACTGGCAGATAATTTCTCGGCATAGACCACAGTTATTCTCTGTGACAATTCTATTCGAACAGGAATGACATACTGTAATCACTGGTAGATAATTTCTTAATATAGACTAGACTACAAGTATTCTTTTAGAGACAGTTCTATGAACAAGATAGAGTCACTGTAATTGTTGAAGACAATTCTGATTGAATCGAGTAAAATCATCATCGTAATCACTGGCAAATGGGGGAATGGTTTTTGGTGACCAAAGCTGGGAACTAATCAAGATTAGTTATCCTGGTTAATTATAGTTGAAGATTTCGAATGGTTCTTGCATTTTCTGATTTTAGATTTTGTGTAAAAGCGTACATAGGTGATAAATTAATGTATGTGTTGTAGCTTGATATGTATATTTGCAGTCTTTTGTAAGTATAGTGTCATTCAATCTTTGCATGTGTATATATATTATTAATTGGTCCTGTTGAAACATGTATTTGAAACACGTGTTATTTTGGATGATTCTGTGCATAATCATGAATTTTTTTTCTCATTATAAAACATTTGTTTGAATCGTTCGTAACTGGTGTTCAATCCCGTGACAGATGCATGTGGATTTAAATTTAACTATTATTGTATATTTAAATGACTTTTATTGGAATTTCATTATTTTTTTCATAGCTATTCCAAAGGACAAGTAAAGAGGGACAGCTGTAGACATCCAATTTCGTCCAGGGGGCATACAAACAACAAGATAGGACATCAAAGGGCCCAAAAGCCCAAATTAACTATTTTTAGTGGTCTAGAACGGCCCGTTCCAAAATCAGAACGGGCCGTTTCCATGTCTGGAACGGGCCATTCTTGAATTGGAACGGGCCGTTCCGGGACTCCTAAAAGGCCTAAACATTGTAGGTTGGAACGGGCCGTTCCAGACCAGAAATGGCCGTTCCAAACCAATTAAAGGGCCTAAACCAGAACGGGCCGTTCCAAAAGGTTAAAAAGGCCTAACAAACCTAGTTTGGAACGGGCTGTTCTGGGAAGGG